CCAACTCCAACACAGATATTTGTTGGTTTTATGTCTCTATGTATGAAGCCCATGCTATGCAACTCCTAAAATATGCACACTGCTAATTGCACTAATGTTTTGAAATTACAATTTTATGATCTCTTGCTAATTACAAGTATAACTCCTTCCAAAAAGGTAAACTGCTTTTCGGAAGTTTACGCCGGTGACATTTTTGATTGTTATAAGTTCGTCCTACACAAGAAGATTTTTGACGTATGCAAAATGGATGATTAAACATGTAAGCAATCCTCGTTTACGGTGATTATGTTGTGCTAACGAGAAAGCTTGGAAATTATCGTCCTTATCTTTGATATCAATAATAAGCTCTTTTTATTATCTTGTTCCAGTATGAAGCCAAGCTTTGCTCTCAACAAAAATCAGCGTAAAATTAGATGTTGAAAAAGACCAAGCGCCTGCTTATGTCTCTCAATTCATTATTACTTGTAATAAAGCACGTAGTTTGTCTGTATGTGTGTATTTTGTGTGTATTTGTGTGTGTTTATCTCTGTCTGTCGCAAAACCAGTTCATTCGTCATAAGAACATCAAAGAGCAATTATCAATTGTTATCATGTTAGCTGACACTAAATAAGAGTAATTTTGATGTGAAGTCGTGGTAACCTATATATTTACATCGTGTTGCTATGAGCAGGCAGAGCAGTGGGATTGAATAGTGTCTTTGCCTTTTGCCTTTAAGATGGCGTCAAAGGTGAGATATGTGATGATTTTAATTTAATCATGAGAACTAATTGCGAATGTTCTAAAAAACCAAGGAATTTAATTGTGATACTTGAAAAGTGCGAATTTCTCCGAAGAAGAGGTGAAGCATTAGTATTACATTAGAAGAGGCTCCTGCTATTAGTCACTCGTCGGCTAGATCGCCTACAGGGCGCAGTGCTTTCCCCTAGATCTCTCATATTGCCTTATGAGATAAATAGATGTTAACGATGTCAACAAACAAATCAACTCTCAGTAAAAATAAGCGCTAACAAGTGATTTCATATACCTGCAGTCCGTTCAACACTTCTCCTGCAATGTAAAAAGCAGAAGAACTTCGAAATTTTCCACCTAGCATCTCTCGAAGTTTCTCAATATTCATATCTAGAAGGCTCATCACTGAAAGCCACAACTTATGTGCACACAAGATAACGGAAACTGATGAATATATAATTACCGATGAAAGGCATATCACACACTGTCCCACTATCCATTAGCAGAGGTGCCCAAGTTACTTTAGCTTTTGTAAGCAGTGCAAGAATCCGAAATTCTCTCTGCAGAGTAAATGCAAAATTTTTCAATTCTCATAAAACAAGGACGATTCAACCTTCATTTTTATGTTAAATGTGGCGCTTCCGTTGCGTATACCAGTCTTCATCGCAAATAAACCGCTTTGGTCTACGATATTTTCGCTGAAAATGTAGAACTAGATTAATTTTTTGTATAAATTCGGCTTGCATCACTGGGAAAGGTGCTCTAAATTGTGCCAATCTGAACTGGAAAACCTTTCTATTACGCTCACTTGTTGCATACTTGTTTAGAGACAATGTAGATTGCTGAGTACCGTCCTTCATTATACTTTAATTGGATTTCATACCGTTGACATCGTCGGTTATCCTCGTCATAGCTGAATTGCAACAAAATAGATGACATTGTCATTGACTTGTCATTCAGCATTAACTGAGAAGATACTGCACAGATGCGAGTGCATAATTTTGCTGGCTGTAGTTTCAAGCGAACTGAGTAGAGAAGGGCATAACAATAACAAAACCAAGCACAACTCCAAATTCTTTGCAAGTACAAGTCGCGTTGGACATATACGTGACAGCGGGTCATGTAACAGTTTGATGCAAAACTTGGAATTGTTGCCATATTTTCTCCGCCAATACAGAAACTAGGTGGTTCTAATGGCCTAGAACACAAGTTTAATGCTAAGGCACTTTTGAAGTGCGCCATTGACGTTGGTAACAACGCATGTCATAAACAAAGTTTCCTGTTCAGGATTTAACGGAAACGCGACACCGGAATGTTTACCAATGAGCAGTAACAGCCGAACTAGCACTCAACCATTATAATAAGAAGACGCCCGCTATATGAAAACACACTTGTCGTTTGTGACGATAAGGTCTTCCATTTGCAGCTCAGCTCGATCTCGGACATATCTGTCAAGCAAATCAAGTTCCATTGCCTAAACATATCTGTCAAGCAGATCAAGTTCCCTAAAAGGTTACTGGGTAAAATGTTTTATTCATGATGTTCTTATTGCAGCTTTTGATTTTTGAATTCTCTTCACTCTGCAAGGGTATAATCTAAATTGCGCCAAAAAACGCATTGCAGGACACGATTTTCG